TCTAGTCGTGTCCTCTTTTGGAAGGTCAAACAAAGTAGTTTCGCTTTCACAACAAAACACACAGCGTCACACACTGCGGGCTAGAGTGAGCGGAGGCCGACAGGCTTGAGAACGGCGCGGCTGGCAGATTCGACAAAGGAGCGGCCGGCGGGCTTGAGGCAACCACATGTGACGGTGAAAGCCGATCCGGCGGTCTTCACGACATGGCGGCGGCAGCAACAATACTACAGCGAGAATAAAAGTTACGCCTTCTTTCTTTGCGTGAACATTTGGGCGGCGTTATGCAAATCTTCCCACATAGTGATGTAGACATGTGGGGGCGTGTTAGAACGAGACGTTTTTAAGATGAATGATTAAAACTAAGATTGGCAACACCTAGACATTTTTTTTTCTCAATCCCAGCTGAGCTCACTTTCTTTCTGTCTCTCCCTCTATCTCTCTCATCCATCTGTCCATTTAAACAGGGCCGTTGAGACGTGTCGTTCCAGCTTCCTTTCGCCTGATGTTCACTAAGAGTGGCAGCAGGTGTGACCACAGATAACAGAAACACACACACACACACACATTCCTGCACAGTCTATTGAGCAGACGTGTCAGAGGATTTAGTGAAAGGACACAGAGATTGATGCATTTTATTGATCCCCTAATAGAAATTCAGGTGTAAGGAAACGAGCTGAGGATGATACTAGAAAATAATTTATTAATTGAGCTCTGAGTTACAGGCCCAGCAAAATATGCCCATGATAAAGTCCCATAACTCAAAAAGTCAACATGCATTGAAATAAACAATTTATCTATTTATTTTCTTAATGCATATCCTTTTATTGTTTTGCTCAATTAATCAGTACAAATATATATACGGTAGTACTGTTCAAATTATTTTTTGGTTTGTTTTTGTTTGCATTTTTTATAATTAAAAATACAGTAAAAACAGCAATAATGTGAAATATTATTATAATTTAAAATAACTGTTTTCTATTTGAATAGATTTCAAAATGTATTTTATTCTAGTGCTGCAAAACTGAATTTTCAGCATCATTACTCCAGTCTTCAGTGTCACATGATCCTTCAGAAATCATTCTGTGTTGATTTGCTGCTAAAGAAACATTTATTATTATTATCAGTGTTAAAAACAGCTTTGCTGATTAAAGTTTTTATGAAAGCTTTGATACAAGATTTTCATGATTCATGTTCAAAAGTAGGCTATAGCTTTTATAAATAGAAACCTAGTATAAATGTCTTCACTGTCACTATTGATCAATTTAATGCATCCCTGCTGAACATTAATTTCTACCAAAAAACAAAAAAAAATTCTTGTTAAATATTCTGTTTTACTTGATAATCCATCACGTTACAGAAGAAAAATAGATTGTGTGTCTTTCACGTTGACTTGAATTGGCATGCCAACTCCCAAATCTCAACATTATGAAATGTGTTTTGAAGTAGCAGCTGGTTGGGAAATCTGAGACAATAGTGCAACTCAGAAACATGTAAAAAAATGTGTACTATATCTCAGAACTAAATCTGTACAAGAAGAAACCACTCTGAAAATGCTGTATCTGTAATTATGATCAGTATTTGCTAATGCAAGCATTGCTACTGTTGCTTACTCATAAGGATTTGAAATATTTCCAGCCATGTGTCCTCCTGCCACACCCGGGTATGTGTCCATGCAGCACTTGTGATGAGTAATTTCCACCAACCACATCTGTGTGCATGACGTTATGGTTGGCTGGAAGTCGGCATTTTAATACTCATAATACCTCATGAAACTCTTATTTTTATTCATGTGGTAATAGAACTTAACTCTATGTTTTGAATCTGGAATATTCGTTTATCATACCTTTCTTTAGTCATCGTATACTAATAAATCAACAAGTCTATGCTTAATCAAAGTGAGTGAATCAGAGCTGATACAAGACATTTAAATTTAACCATCCAATATCCGCCAGCTTTCTGCCTCCGGCTCTGCAAAAGCATCTGTGACATCCTTTGGCATCACACATCCATCAGGATCCAACGGATCCCTGAATCATCCAGAATCAATGCTGCGTCTGCAAAGGATAGTGTGTGTGCGTCCATTTTGAGGGAACACTTCACAGTGTCAAATACAGAAGCAAGGAGCTCTGTTGTAGAATATGAAACTTCATAAGTGTGCATTTGATTCATTATGGGGCAAGTTGTCACAAGGTCTCAGTAGAATTTTGTGTGTGTGTGTGTGTGTGTGTGCATTTTGAGGGAACACTTCACAGTGTCGAATACAGAAGCAAGGAGCTCTGTTGTAGAATATGAAACTTCATAAGTGTGCATTTGATTCATTATGGGGCAAGTCGTCACAAGGTCTCAGTAGAATTGTTTGTGTGTGTGTGTGTGTGTGTGTGAATTTTGAGGGAACACTTCACAGTGTCAAAGACAGAAGCAAGGAGCTCTGTTGTAGAATATGAAACTTCATAAGTGTGCATTTGTTTCATTATGGGGCAAGTTGTCACAAGGTCTCAGTAGATTTTTTTTTGTGTGTGTGTGTGTGTGTGTGAATTTTGTCATGTATTTAAACGGTTGTGTAAGTTGCATTTTTACTCTTCTTAAAGGCTGAATTACTAAGAAGTAGCTTTTGTGACAGCTTCTCAGTTTGACAACTAGCCCCTTTTGTTTCATCATCTCTCTCTGTGTGTGTTTGTGTGTGTGAGAGAGTGTGTTGTTAGGGGGTGTGCCAGCAACTTCGCTCCCTCCATCCAAAACCCATTCTGTCAAAACCCACTTCCACCTAAATAGACCAAAAACAGACCGACCTCGGGAGGAGCGCTCAGCATCATCATCCTCCTCCCTCCTCCTCATCCTCCTCCTCACAGCTGAAGATGGCGGACCCGGCCGAGTGCACCATCAAAGTCATGTGCCGTTTTCGGCCTTTAAACGGTTCGGAGGTGATGAGGGGAGACAAATATGTCCCCAAATTTCAAGCAGACGATAATGTGGTCGTCGGGGTGAGTTTATAATATGATATCACGATGAATTTCCGCTGTGACGCCCGCATCCATTTCTATTAGCATCCGCTAACCACCTGCAGACGTAACTTATCCTGACAGAAATGCACCTTTTTGTGTGGAAATATGATAGTAATTTGTGTTTTAGCATTATTCTGTGTGGGAAATGTTGTACGTGAGGCTTTAATTTAGTAACATAATCGTAAGGTGAGGGGTTTTAAATCATCGTTAGCTCGGTGGCTAACAGCCCTCAGATGTAATGCAGGCAGCACAATGTCAAAATGTTTGATTATGAACTTAAAAACAGTAGGACCTACGCGTCTTTGGCATAATTTAGTATTTTAGTGCATTTCGAAGTGGATTTTGATGTTAAACGGATGATAAGTAACCACTAGCCCCTGTGCTAATGTTAACCAGTTTGTTGTTATTTAGAAAATCAACAAAAGCGAAATAAATATATACAATTGCACATTTCATACTGAAATTAACGTTAATAGGTGAAATTAACGTTAAAAATGAATAGATGCAGTAAATGTGAACATAACAGTCACTAGTGCCAGTCTGTTATGATTTGGCCTACTTTAAAGGGGTCATATGATGCTTTTTTAAAGATCATTATTTGGTGTAACAGAATATGTTGACACTATAGATATCTATTAGAGTAGTAATAGTCTTATGCGGTGTTGAGTAGAGGTCGACCGATAGTGGATTTTGCCGATACCGATAGCTAGGTTGGACCACACTGGCCGATACCGATTCATTAACCGATAGTTTTTAAAATGGATACTGAACAAAAACTAAAATAATGCTTTATTACTCACACTTTAACTTCTTCTATTCTTGAACACTTGATGGTTATCTAATCAAAATAAAAGTACAGGGCTGAGTCTAGGAGAACTCACCGGTATCACACACACTCCGGACGCGTCGCGTTCAACTCGAGCAGTGGTCTAAAACAGTTTATTTAA